AAAGCGTCTGTGTGTAAAAGCGTCTGTGTGTAAAAGCGTCTGTGTGTACAAGCGTCTGTGTGTAAAAGCGTTTGTGTGTAAAAGTGTCTGTGTGTAAAAGCGTCTGTGTGTAAAAGCGTCTGTGTGTAAAAGCGTCTGTGTGTAAAAGCGTCTGTGTGTAAAAGTGTTTGTGTGTAAAAGCCTCTGTGTGTAAATGTGTTTGTGTGTCAAATGTGTCTGTGTGTAAAAAGCGTCTGTGTGTAAAAAGCGTCTGTGTGTAAAAGTGTCTGTGTGTAAAAGCGTCTGTGTGTAAAAGTCTCTGTGTGTAAAAGCGTCTGTGTGTAAAAGTCTCTGTGTGTAAAAGCGTCTGTGTGTAAAAGTCTCTGCGGGTAAAGCCTCTGTTTGTAAAAGCGTCTGTGTGTAAAAGCGTCTGTGTGTAAAAGCGTCTGTGTGTAAAAGTCTCTGTGTGTAAAAGCGTCTCTGTGTGTAAAAGTCTCTGTGTGTAAAAGCGTCTGTCTGTAAAAGCGTCTGTGTGTCAAAGCGTCTGTGTGTAAAAGCGTCTGTGTGTAAAAGTGTTTGTGTGTAAAAGTGTTTGTGTAAAAGTGTTTGTCTGTAAATGTGTTTGTGTGTCAAAGTGTCTGTGTGTAAAAAGCGTCTGTGTGTAAAAAGCGTCTGTGTGTAAAAGCGTCTGTGTGTAAAAGCGTCTGTGTGTAAAAGCGTCTGTGTGTAAAAGCGCCTGTGTGTAAAAGCTTCTGTGTGTAAAAGCCTCTGTGGGTGAAAGTGTTGTGTGTAAAAAGTTCTGTGTGTAAAAGCTTCTGTGTGTAAAAGCGCCTGTGTGTAAAAGCTTCTGAGTGTAAAAGCCTCTGTGTGTAAAAGCGTCTGTGTGTAAAAGCGCCTGTGTGTAAAAGCTTCTGTGTGTAAAAGCCTCTGTGTGTAAAAGCTTCTGTGTATAAAAGCCTCTGTGTGTAAAAGCTTCTGTGTGTAAAAGCCTCTGTGTGTGAAACTGTTGTGTGTAAAAGCGTCTGTGTGTAAAAGGGTCTGTGTGAAAAAGCGTCTGTGTGTAAAAGCGTCTGTGTGTAAAAGCGTCTGTGTGTAAACGTGTTTGTGTGTAAAAGTGTTTGTGTGTAAAAGCCTCTGTGTGTAAAAGCGTCTGTGTGTAAAAGCGTCTGTGTGTAAAAGCGTCTGTGTGTAAAAGCGTCTGTGTGTAAATTTTTGTGTGTCAAATTTTTGGTGTCCTGTGTGTAAAAGCGTCTGTGTGTAAAAGTGTGTAAAAAGCGTCTGTGTGTAAAAGCGTCTGTGTGTAAAAGCGTCTGTGTGTAAAAGGCTCTGTGTGTAAAAGCGTCTGTGTGTAAAAGCGTCTGTGTGTAAAAGGCTCTGTGTGTAAAAAGCGTTTGTGTGTAAAAGCGTCTGTGTGTAAAAGCGTCTGTGTGTAAAAGCGTCTGTGTGTAAAAGCTTCTGTGTGTAAAAGCGTCTGTGTGTAAAAGGGTCTGTGTGTAAAAGCGTCTGTGTGTAAAAGGGTCTGTGTGTAAAAGCGTCTGTGTGTAAAAGCTTCTGTGTGTAAAAGCGCCTGCGTGTAAAAAGCGTCTGGGTGTAAAAGCGTCTGTGTGTAAAAGGGTCTGTGTGTAAAAGCGTCTGTGTGTAAAAGCTTCTGTGTGTAAAAGCCCCTGTGTGTAGAAAGCGTTTGTGTGTAAAAGCGTCTGTGTGTAGAAGCGTCTGTGTGTAAAAGTGTCTGTGTGTAAAAGCGTCTGTGTGTAAAAGCGTCTGTGTGTAAAAGAGCCTGTGTGTAAAAAGCGTGTCTCCATACTAACAACAGAAGACTCTGCTCCTCTACGCTCTCGGGCCATCCGTCGTCTAGTTTGCGCATCAGAAGGTGCTATGTATTGAAATCACATTCCGTTTCTGGTCTGGAAATGCCCATGCACCAATTCAACCGGCATAGGGTCACCGCTTTCTGCATTCCCAGAACTTACCGCAAGGATGAGATTTGCCGCTCCCTATGTGCATCTCAGAACCGCCAACTTGACACAGGTGGATGCAATCACTGTGCCGGCTTCTGCTGCGCTTCCGGATCCAGCTGCACAAGTGGAACGGCTGTCGGCGCAAATCTCGCGCTTGTGCCCCGGTTCATATACAGTATGTGGATGCTAGGCCGGTTTCACTTTCATGTGAAACAACCGCGCTGGTGTGGCAGGGAGCGGCTCCAAAGTAGACCATTTACTGTAATTGAATGAAGCCTTGCAGCACTTGTTGTGCATACCTGGCTTTCGCACGGGCCCTTTCCGAGAGTGTGCTGCTTTCAGGTACATGGATGTTGTGAGGGACTTAGATGCCTCAGCCCGCAAAGTTTGGGACGAGCTCTACGTGCTTTTCCAGGCGCTTCATGGAAAGGTCTTCAAAATACCAGTTTGTGAAACTGTGGTACATGTCAGGTATATCAAGATGTAAAGATGTTCATATGTTGTTTTTGGCTACACAGCAGATCAACATTATTTTCATCACTGCTACAACATTAGTTCGCTCCGTGGCACAAACCAATCATCCACGGGCAAAGGAGAAGATGAGAATCGACATGACAGACGAGGCACGAGTGCTGGCAGTCCTGGTGCTGAAAGCATTGCGTATCTCCATATGTTTCCATCTTGACACAATGCCCAGAAAATATTTATGTCCCAACCCTGTTGTTCAAAGTTCAAGCTCAAGGTCTTTGATTGCACATTGCGTGCCATGCTTTGATTGGGGGATCTAGAGATTGTTGTGCTACTGATGTGACATCACAGTAGTGGCGCAATTTCGAAAATAAAGGAAAAATGCATCCTTCACAAATTCTTAAATTTGATTTCCACGACTGGGTGGTCACAGCAAAAATGTCAACAAGTTTGTATGAAGTCAAAAATATCATGGGGCGGCGGCACCAGGACCAGAGCGAGATTGAGGCCTTCATTTTCGAGCATCTACCCACTGAGAGCTGCTTGTCCGAAAGAGATTGAATCGAGGGAGTGGTCTAGGGTGAGGCAAGACTTGCGCGGAATCTGATGCAGCAGCATTGCCGAAGAACAGTTGCAACATTTGAAAAGCTTGGAGTGTTGGCGGTCATTCGGATACGCTGATGTCTTTTTATGGTCTTGCCGTTCACAACCAAGTAGATTTGTTCAGCAAGTTCAGGACTTGTTTGCCCACCTGAGGCACTGAACTTATCTGGAAAGTTTACAAGGCCAAATGGGAAACAATGGGCTAGGGCCAAGTTCTTTGCCCACAAAAGCTAGCTGTTGATCAATATAGTTCCCCCTTTTATGCAAGATTTTCTTTCCTGCTGCATGATACCATTCCAGAGACACCTGGCTTGGGAGGTGCTTTACTTGGAGCAAGAACGAGATAGACTTCACAAATTAATGGAAAGCCCAGAGGAAACATATGTTTTGTGAGCATGTCTCCAGTCGAACATATCACTCCCTTCATCATTGTGTAGGGTTCTTGCTTTTCTTATTCACGAAAAAAACAAACAACGCCATCTTTTTCCCGATGATTGGGGCTTTCTAAGATTGGTAAGTTTGTCGGCCTTTGTATTATTATCTAATTATGAAATAAAGAATTTGAGAATATGTAGCATTTGAATTGAAGCAATTTTTTTTTATTTTGAAGTAAAAATCAAAAATATATTTGGAAAATTTTGATTAAAACTTTAATAAGTGAAATGAATGTATTTGGCCATATTATCGAAGGAAGTTTAGAAGTCAAACTTCCGACAATATGGATAGATGAAAAGTAGAGCAGGGAAGAGGCAGAGAGAAGAGAAAAAGTAAGAAGAAAAAAGATGCAGATATATAAAAAGGGAGGAAAGTTGCGAAATACTGTGTTTTTCCAATGATTTGGGGCTCCGGAGGGTCGAAAAGTAGGCTCGCTAAAGCGGCGGGTGCGGAGCCAGCTGGCCAGATAAGCGATGAAAAATTATACGCCGTTGTGGTGCCAAGCATATTTGTAAGTTAAAGTATATAAAACACTAGGGGTGCGGACTATTTTTGGCACTTGAGATGTCGAAAAAATACATGCCGTTGTGGCGCGAAATATATTTCGAAATTAAAATTTACAAAACACACTAGGTTCGGACTACTTTTGGCAGTTGACATCTCGAAAAAGTACACGCCGTTGTGGCGCGAAATATATTTCGAAGTTAAAATGTACAAAACACTTCAGTATCGGATTACTTTTGGAAATTTAGATGTCGAAAAAGCGCATACCGTTGTGGCGCGAAATACATTTCGATCTGAAAATGTATAAATTACACTATGTACGGACTATTTTTGGAGGTTTAGAAATCGTTCCGCGTGATAGGCGCAAGGGATTGTGGACCTTGTTAAAAGTGAGTAGAAGGTGAGGGTTTTATAATATTTTTAACTATATCTACCACTCTAATACATTAAACTACACTATAACTACAACTACACTTCACTACATTCTACTACATTATACTACACTTAATTATACTTAATTACACTATATTACACTATACTACCCTCCACTACATTACACTATACTACATTACACTATATTTTCCACACTATACTTTACCTATACCTACAACCACACTCTACTACACTAAATTTCACTACACTGCATTATACTACACTACATACCACGATACTCCACTACACTACATTACACTGAATGACA